AATATTATAACGGTAAAAGTTCGATCTAAGACAACGGTTTCAATACAAGTCGAGAATAAACTTTCGGATACCCTCATTATTTTCTTGTACAGTGTTGCCACATTGTATATTTGTTTACCCGATATATTAATCTTCATTATTATACAGTTATTAAATACATAATAATCATACCTCGTAGTAAACGTCTACATATAATGCTAGCATAAATAGCACCATTTAATATGTTGTGGCCATCCCTCACCCACAGAATAAAACAGAAGGCAACATGTATGTACTTCTATTTTGATACCTATGCTTGAGACGATCGATTTAGGGTTGTCAACTTTGGCTTATGCACAAAAAACTATCATCGCAACCGGTATTTTTTTTTTTTGTTCTATTTGTTTTAGAACCAAATATTTAATAATACCCCCCCCCCCCATTCTTACCAAAACAGTAAGGTTGCTGGAGCGCACTGTTTATGTAGATTGTATTCCATTATAGGTATATTGTGCCTCACCCTATCGATAAAATGTGGTGATTCAAAATACTGAATAAATAAATATGTTTAAATATCAATGTGTCAGTAAAATTTCCTTCTACTTACACTTATTAGCTTTTTGATCTTTGAAATGCCTCTTGTATCTGAAACCACGCATCATGTCAGTTGTAGAACTTATGTCACCGCTTGAATTCTGTAATAAATAATTGTTTACTTACATATTATAGCAATGAGAGCGAGATGTCATAATACAATGTGTATAACTTACTACCAAAATAAACAGAAAATTCAACTTTCATGCTCAAATTCAAATCTCACCCTCAAATCGATGTCAGCAATGAACTGACAAATGTATATATTAGTTAATTAGTGATCTCACTATTAACAATAAAGGAGTAACTGTTTCACAATTGAGTTAACATGTTTTTGGAAGGTGAATTATGTTAGAACTTATTAGAGAGATTATTCATTACGAGTATTTTTCAGCATAGCATTGCAAATGTGAAATTGATCAAATAAAATAATTTAAACAAATTTTCTTCTATGTTGAAAGTTTAAATATTTGTAAAAATATTACTTTCGGCTGGATTGCCTGAACATCGATGAAAATACACTTTGTAGTAGCAAAAAAGTAATAAGTGCTTGAAAAGTTTATCAGTCCTGCTAGTTCCTGCATAGCTCAGTGGTTAGAGCAGTCGCCCAGACTTGTGAGAGGTCATGGGTTCAATTCCCATCTCAGACTGCCAGGGACAAAGTGGATTTGGATTGGAATACAAAATTGATTAAATATAATACCTTATCAGAGCATCACTCATATGAATCTCAGAAGCAGGTACATATAGCTAATTTACTTACCAAATTGTGTGATTGTTATTTGACTAGCTTGTCAGCTAATCAAGAGCACATTTAGAATTCAAGTCCCTAAACAATTATACTTACAGAAGAAACAACAGAAGTTACATAGACTATAATAATACATACCCACTCGTCAAATGTGTCTGAAATATAATAAATTACTTTAGTATATACATAATCAATATAAACTCATACATGCTTGTACTTAAAGTTTGATGGTTCTGCATAAAAATGTCTTATTGACTTAATAAAAAACTTTCAATGGACTGAGTTGCACATGGATATAGATTTTTGTGGACCATAGAATAATAAATTTGAACCAAATTCACAACGGGAGGTATTTATCTGTGTAAGTACTATATTGGTGCACCAAATGTGTGGTGTAATTATACAATAACATAAGGTACATGGCTGTCTATAGTTGTAGAACGTAGGATAATCTGCAATAACAAACAGTGCAAAGGAAACAGAAAAAATAATTATAACAATTTTTAGAAATGTGTAGATACGGAGGAAAACCACCATTATTTATTTTTATTTTATCTACTTCAAACAAATACTTATATGATTCAGTTTATATGATAAAGCAACAAATAGGACTTCCATTAAGCATTTTTACCGGAACTTAGAATGTAGAGTGATTTTTTTATGAATTGTTATCGTTACTTTTATAAACACCTTTATTGTGTACACATACCATTTATTGTAAAATCCGCTGAATTATCGTAGTCCTGAATGCGTGAATACAAAGTTATCATGATGATTACAAAAATTACAATATCTACTTACTCGGTCAGGTTTTAAAATTAAAATAAACATTTTATTTTTATTTGATTATTGAAACACAAGACATAGTACTAATTTCTTTTACAAAAAAATTCTATTGAAGAATAAGTCTTACCATAATACAAATAAACTTTTTACAATGGAAAATTACTAAATTTAAAATTGCAAAATTATCGCCAAAACAATTCCATTCTTCTTCTTATAAATTAATGGCGTTGCCCTTCTGGATTTTGCCAAAATCCAGTGTTTCGCTCAGTTTATTTGGACTTGTCTATTCTATGGACTTGCCAAAGAACGAGAACAAAGAGTAAAAGTATATATATATATATATAAAGGGTATACCATAGAAAGGCTAAAAAGACCTGTAAAAAATTATCGATAACTTCTCAATATACCTTTTCAGGTATATACCTAAAAAGGTGTATTGTGGTGAGTTATTTGTGGTGGCTACAGGGTTCTGTAGGAATCCGGTTTTCTTTCATTTATAAAAGTAAAGAAAACCGGAACGGTTGTTATGGAGAAATCAAGAAACTACAAATATAAATATAGATTACTATTCTTTCTTTTTCTTAAACTAATAATTTAGTAGAAATCAGATCAGAAAGAAGGAAAGCATCGATTCCTCATAAGAATTGAATCATAAGTATCGAATCCAAAAGTACTTGGTATCAATACTAAAGAATCGTTACCCTTAGGTTTCGGTACTTTTTTGCGTATCCCTAGACCATAGACAAAACGATCTTTGTATTATTTGATATTATTTAAAATATCTGGATATTTTAAATAATATCAAATAATACAAAAAAAAATGATCAATTTTGCACTTTGTAAAATTAGATATTTTGAAGCGACCAAGTTCTCGATTACTTTGCGTTTACATTTATATTTTTTATTGAAAAAGATAATAAAATGTTTTAAAATGAAATATATTTATTTCTTATGAAGTAATCGTTTCAAAAATTTATTTTGTACAAAAAAATACGTTCAGATAAGTTGTTTAGTTTTCTTAACATATGTTGTCTCCTAAGTACAGGAAAATATTCAATTGAAACTGGATTTCCCGTTTAAAAAAAAAGACTTAGGCCCAGGATTGGAATGGGAAAATATGACCGAGTTCAAAGGTTGGTTAAAACCAGCAAGTAGAGACAGTCAGCAAAAGTGGCCAATGCTGTCACAACTACGTTCTTTCTAAGTCCTTACTTGAAAAAATGGGTACTGTTAAAAATTGTTCTAAATCAATTAGTTAGTGCTAATTCAGCTGCACCAGATTTATCATTCTTATTTAGATTTAGATTTATCACCTTCCCAGAGTTCACAACCTTCTACATCTTCCTCTAGTATTTAATTGTGTATTGTGATTCTTATTTAAATAGTCAATTGAGTAGTTATATGATATAAATATAGTATTAAGTACATACTATTATAGAAATAACACTGCTTTTAGAAATAATATTAATAAGATGATTTGTGTTTTATTTTGTTATTTGTATTTTAAATGCAATGCAATGCAAAGTCTTTAATAAAACTTCGCCGTATGATTTCTAGTAATCGTGTAAAATGGTATTTAATTTCACGGAAAAATTTAGCTTTTTCTAGCTACTTTTCAAGTCGAAAAAATTACTCAATCTAGCAACTTATGTAAAATTCCTAGCAACAGGCCTTCGGTAGCAATTGACAACACTGGCTCCATCATCACCAGACCAAAGAACGAATCTTACGAGCCCAAACATGATGCAGTTGCGTCATTTCATCACCGAGTGAGTTCTTATGACCGTCTACCTCTCCATCATCATATCAGCTTTCTGACACCATAATATTATACTGTCATCTGACTTACATGTCTATACGAAATTTAAAATCTATCGGATATTGGGAAGTGGCTCAAATTTGAGTTCAAAGTTTTGCGCACTAACTAACTAACATACATACTAAGAAGGCAATTTTTTTTAAGGGATAGGGGGCAGACGAACAGACGGGTCACCCGATGGTAAGTGGTTACTGTCGCCCATGGACACCTGCAACACCAGAGGGACTACAAGCGCGCTACCGGCCTTTGAGGGACGAGTATGATCATAGATCATAGGGGTAGAGGGAAGGGATTAGGGAGGGGTTGGGCCTCCGGTACCCTCACTCACACGACGAAACACAAAATTAAAAGCTTGTAAAGGGGTTACTTTCGGCAAAAATTCAAAAGTTGCAAACTTTGGACTTTTAAATAATGAACAAGTATTGAAAATAGGATGAAAATTATTAATAAAACTTAAAATACATACGTTCTGAAAACAGTACCAATATACCTTCGTATATTAAGACACCAACGTGTGCTGCATTTTTATAAAGTAACCTATGATTGTCCACTGTAACTTGAACTCTGCGAGATAAATATACAAATAAAATTTATCTTCCTAGTGAAAAATTATACCATCTTTCTTGGAATTAGATGTTCTGGAATTTTTTTAACACCATTTAGCACTACAACTTGCCATGGTTAATCCAATAAATACTTTATAAAGAAGTTTTCTCGTCAAAGCATATATTCACAGATCCAACACTTGGTCGCAACTGAGGATTCGCGTACGTGTATTACGACTACTTTTGTTAAAACGATCTATGCAGAATCATAGATGTTTGGCAACAGCTTTGTCTTTCAGCGGCATCTATTGGAGGTCATCTGTGTCCCTGGTCCCATCTCAGAGTATCAGGGACAAAGTGGATTTCTTAAGCATTTTTCATTAAGAATAATATTATTTTATTTTTCACAACAATATTATTGTATTATGTTAGAATAAATCTTTTTCTGAAAGTATTGTCATCTCAAAATTATTAAAACTTAAAAATAAAAGCAAAGCAGGTTTTCAAGTAAAAACATTTATCTATTCTAGACATTTCATTTAATTCAAACTTTTTTCCTATACATCTAATACTTATTATTTAATTTAATCTTTGGTTAAATGACTCAGCTCCACATTATCACAGTATAAAACAAAAAATAAATTTATTTTAATTTGGAACTACTTAGCTTAATGGATCATTAAGTGTAAAATACTCATATAATAAAAATTGCCAATGAGCAAGATGGTTCAGAACTGTTATAAAATTAATATCAATAAAGTAAATGTACATTCTTAAGTAATGAGAAAGCTTTTTTAAATAATTTTTATTAGTTTCATAGCACTAATAAAACTTCTTAAAAAATTATAGATTCTAGTGTTAAATGTTTCCCAAATCTTATTATTTCTAAAATAATGGGTAGGTAAACCTTTATACTGTATATATTTTATACTCAATATTATTTGCTAGTAGAAAATGTGTTAAATACACATTGCTGCTTAAGCAATTCAATACCTAGGTCTTACTAAAAAACATCTGCCTTTATTACCTAAAATAGTTTGGAATGATATTTAGATGTTTGTTTAGGTCCTTTGCAGGCCTAAACAAATCAAAATTAGGCCTAAAGATTATCATAGCTACTGTCTAACAATTCTTATTGGACACATAAATATTGATGCTAGAAAGCAAAAACTTTTTAACTCTCATGCCTTAGTCAGTTAATAAGAATGTAAGATTAAAAAAAGGTTATTCCCATTGAAGTACAATTTTGGTTTTGCTGGCTACTACTCTAGCATCTATATGCTCTTAGATACACTTAAATTTATGTATTTGAAATTATTCAATTATTTTCCATTTTGATGGTTTCTCACATAACCCAGAATCTGGACATAATCTATTGAAAGTTGTATTGCCATCAAAGCCTAATATCTCCCTCTCTTCTTGAATTCGGAAGGAAAAAGTGCTTTCATGTGTCCCAATAAAATATGCAGCATGTGAGCAGATTATTTGATCAATTATAGCAACTCCGCCCTCATTTATTTCTTTTAACAGAACATCACTGGGATTGAAAGAATAAACTTCATAATTCAGCTCATTGAGTTGCTCTTCCAACACTTTCATTTCAATTGTGGATGCATCAGATGCGATAAATATCCTCTTCACACCGGGAACATTTTTCTTTACAGCAAAATTAATTTGCTGGACAGTACTCTTTATTGAAGGTACATCATTTGGCCTACTGTAAGCAAAATCTTTGCGCCTCCAGTGAACACTTAAATATGTTAGACATCTATCTGCATTACAATTGAGATTGGAGGAAATAAAGTCTTTAGCAATTTTAACAAGGTTATTGTTGAATTTCATACTCTTGCGACATTCCCAGTATGTTTTTGTACCATAATTATCATGTAGTGGTATTTCCCCATGGGCAAACATGACTTTTCTGTCAGTAGGATGCTGCAAAATAAGCTCCCATAATTTAGATATTTTACCTTGGAATTTCACACACACTATTTCTTTAGCAGTAATGTTTTTGTATCCAAAATAATTACCTTCATACTCACAATCACTGTTCAATTGCCATTTCTCTTCGAATACGCCGTTTTCGAATGGATTCTCAAAGTTTTCTAAAACATACAAAGTATCGATTTCCAGTACTTTTGTCTTAGTGTCGTTGAAAACTTCATGCAGTTCCATTACTGGTACAAAGGATTTTAGAGAATCTATGTTGAAGAATGACGACCAAGGCTGAGGTTTAGATTTTGCAGAGGAACTCCGCCAATGGTACAATTTATGCCATGGCGGTAACACCAACCGCCAATCGACTCTTCCCCGTTTACGAGCATCTGACAACATTATAGCAAACCTCATGTAAACGTCGCGGCGTAAATTGAAGCCTTCTGGAGGATTAACATCGTAGAATATCAGTTTATATGCATTGGCTTCATCAACATGATTTTCGCAGTTTTTGGAATCCACATCACAGAAACCAATATTGGAGTTTGGCTCCGCAGCAGTAGTTAGTAAATTTATTAAGAAAAGGTTCAGGAAAATCATAATTTTAATATATATTAAGTCGTGAAAACTAAAAAGCAGTTAACTATGTAGATGACAGGTAATACAAAAAAATGGATGACAATAGGGATGTGAAAAATAATCGTTTTATAATGAGCAAGTATTTAATAAAGAAAGTTCCCGAAATCAAACTAGACGTCGCTACAATACTTTCTTGTTTTCTCCATGACAACCATTCCGGTTTTCTTACATTTATAAAAGTAAATTACTTTTCAAAACTCACATTCTATTTGTTCTTTTTCGTATTTGTATTGATATCTAAGTTTCAAACTTTGTAAATTTCAGTTTATTATATGTAAGTAAAAGGAAAGGAAATGACTATCATTGATGCATTCATTACCTGCAAAAAAACAACTTTTGCTAGAGTCGCCATCTAGTGGAGGGGCTTTCTTTTTTAATAGATTAATATTATGTTCAGAGGGTCTTGACCTGTGACCGTGACGTCATAGCGAAGCTATGACAAAAGTTAACGTTTCCCGGGAAATTTTGAAAGCTTTATTTATTTTTAGATTTTTAACTTATTAAACGAATGATACTTCAAAGTTTTTTTTGTATATTTCATGTATAACTATTAAATAAAATCGAAATAGTTCTTTGCACCTTTTCGAAAGATTTTCGTGACATAAAGTTTTTAGTCTTGTTAAAAGTCTCATTTTTAACAATGTCTATGACTAACAGGACAAAAACGATTAATATAACTATATCGATTATATTCTGAAGAATAACTGATATTTATTAAACGATGTTAAATTATACAATACAAACCGATTAATTAAAATTTATTATGTACAATGGGTATGTTCCGATATACACTGCGACCACTGAACAGTATGACGTCAATTTAGTATACTGGAAGCCCGTTCCTTTATAGCTAGTTATACTGGTGACTTTTTAAAACGGAACGCAGTCCAGTATACTGTTAATCCTATTTTTGGCGCCATTTTCAAATTTGTTAATGCAAGGTCAATATAAATATAAAGATTCCCTCTTTTCAAAAGAAAATATTATAAAATTGAAAATTCTATAAAAAAAATATTTATCAATCAAATCCATCTTATAATAAACGCAAGTATTTTATTTTATCTGTTTCGACTGATCACGTGGTCAAAAGCACTGCGAGCACTGCACCTCGAAATCTCCAGTGCTCACAGTACAAATATGGCGGCAATTCATGACGTCATAAATTTCCCTACGGTACTGTAGCAGTGTACTGGCAGTCCATAACGGAACGGATTTTTCAGCAGTAAGACCACTGCGCAGTGCTCGCAGTGTATATCGGAACATACCCAATATCACATTCCTATGTAACAATAATATTGATTCACATTTGTATTCTAATGACATTTGTTGTCTGTCATTGACTGACATAATGCGTTGAACGATTTTGGTGCAAACTGACATATATCGATTTGTTGACATCCTAAAATATCTAAGGTATCCAATATATATCGATATTTTAAAAGTGAAATCGATATCAAAAAATACCAACATATCAAACAAAACCTAAGAGTCTGAAGAGTAAATCAATATATAATTTGTCCAAAGTTTAACATTCGACGGCGGACCTTTACACATATGTAACATTTGTAATCAGGTTTAATAATATTTCCCGTTGCAAGCGGAAACAATTATATGCCCCAAAATTTTGGCTTTGCAATTTATAAATAATTTTGAGGCTCATCAGCGATACTTAATCAATAAAACAAGAAAAATTTAAGTAAAAATGAAATGTCTCATATCGACTTAATTGTGAATTTTCTGGGTAATTCTGAGTTTTGAATGTAGGTTGATAGAATGTACAAGTACCAAATGAAGATTATGTAACTTAATGCTGTTGCTGTTCTGCGAAAAAAAATTACATAAATATTTCAGCAATTAAGGGGACCCGGTGTGTTAATAATGTATCAAATAATAATAGGTTTCAGAAAAGCGTCAAATACTCTAAAGGAGACTAAAAATAGTTTTCAAAATTGATTCTAAATGGAAAATTATCGATATTATGCGATATCGACTTTTGTGCAAGCCTACGTTTCAAAATGTCATCCTGAAAGTTGAATGAATGTGTCGCGAGAGATAATTAAAGTTTAAACATAATTAAAGTTGTGTTTACTAAATCTTTTCTATAAAAAATGGAGCTCAACGATGTGATAGTTAATCAACCCGTAGTCATAGATAATGTAAGAATCACAACTTTTTACCAACGTTTAGAATGTTTCTTGTGCTGGCACACCTAATAAACTCTGAAAAACCAATTGTAACCATTTTTACAATGCAAAATGATTTGGGGTCACTGTTTCCCATTCATATAAATTCAATGGATCATCAAATAACGTCCGACTTTATTTATTTAGAAGCAATGACTCATCTTGACGTCTATTTAGCATATTTTCTTTTTCACTTTTACCGACAATTTGCAGGGCTCCGGTGTAATTAAAGCTGGATTTGCTGGTGATCAGATACCGAAATGCCGTTTCCCAAATTAGTAAGTTATTTCAATTCTTTTGACCTATATATTAACAGTATTCAGATAAGTAAGCTACTCAAACTAATCCTTCAGATGATAACCAAACTATTTCGCATTATTTAGCATTAGTATGGTAATTATTCGCAAGTTGAATACAAAATTAAGTTATTCCCAAGTTGAATACAACATTTACAAGAATCCAATAGGAAATATCCATGATAATGTCTTTTTCACATACCATGGGTACTGTAATGTTTGGGATTTGAAGTTTTTGATGATCTGGTAATAATATATATATACAAAAACTCTATATTAATGAGTTCATTTTTAATAAAGATAGTCGATTTTGAGGTCAATATATAAAACAAGATTTAATAAAAATATTTATTAACAAGATGAACCTGAGTCAGAAAAATATTAAATTTTATTATAGATTAGCTTAATTGTTACAACAACAATAATTAAATGTGTTAAATTATGCTTAATGCTAATTTCTTTTCTGCCACTTCACACAGGAAAACAATACTGTTCGTTATTTCGATATAACAAAATCAACAATATTTTGAATTAATTTTAATATTTTTTAAACAATTAACATTCATTTGGTGTTAATCCGCTAGTATTGGTCGACCGAAGCATGTCCGTGTCATGGCAGGTGCGTTAGAAGGGGAGTTGTTTGTTGGTCCCCGTGCTGAGGAACATAGAGGACTCCTCAGTATCAAATATCCCATGGAACATGGGATAGTTACAGATTGGAATGACATGGAGAGAGTATGGAACTATATTTACAGTAAGGTTAGTTATCCTATAATAAATAAGTTGTCTTTTGTCTTATTTTTTTAAGTTAGTGTAGACTACATATAAATAATAAATTCAATGGACTACTTTTTGAAATTAGCACACAAAGAAGTAGTTGAATTTTACCATAAAGTGCCAAGTGCCAAGGCCAAGACATGGATTTAAGTGAACTGTGATTTAAATGAAATGCAGACTTTACTGCAACAGTTCAATTGGAAATGCCAATTGAACTGTTTAGCAAGCTTATAGGAATAAAGTGAAATATTATTGATTACGAGCTTTTTTGCTGCACTTATATACAGCCTATACCACATATGATGTAGCTTTTTTAACATTTGCATCACCACATGAATATTTTGGACAGGATCAACTATCAACATTTTCGGAGGAACATCCCGTTCTATTGACAGAAGCCCCGTTAAATCCACGACGTAATCGCGAAAAGGCAGCTGAAGTATTCTTTGAGACATTCAATGTGCCAGCATTATTTCTTTCTATGCAAGCAGTCCTTAGTTTGTGAGTATAGTTTTAGTAAATGTTATTATTTTATTTAATCTGCACAAATAATTATATAAATACAATATTTCCCTCCTTCATTTTAAATCTCCATGCATTGACAGCGGAGTTCAAAATTAAGTTACACCTAGAATATCAATAGATTGAGATGTTATGTTAAAATTATTTAAGAATAGCTATTATCACATATATACACGAAGGGATGCATGGCTGGAAGGAGTCCAGTTTATAGCACCAACCTCGTTGTAACAGGCCAGCAACGTTGTATTGTGCCTTCTTACAGGAACGGGCGTCACCCTGTAAGTGACCTTTTGATTCGTCCCAAATCGTGGGAACCAAATGAATGATACCATTAAAAAACAAACCCCAAAAAAAACATTAACACAGCAGGCCTTCCATCCAGGCCTCTTCAATAGACAGCGATCTAGCTCACTAAGTGATGTACCAACTCACCGACAGAATACAGAACCACTGACCAACTCAGAGAAACATATAGTTGATCTAACTGAATCATCAGAACATCGACAAGATGACCAGGAACAACAACCACCTCCATGGCAACGAGTTCCAGCATCGAAAAAGCGCAAGATACATGACCAATCACAATCGCCAACCTCCTTGCAATCAAATAACCGATTTTCCAACCTACCAGTAGACTCGTTGGAATCTGAAAACCAACCTAAGCAGTCAACCAAACCACCTCCCATCGTGTTGTATGGGATAGAGGACTTGAATGAACTAGCAAAACTAATACAATCGGTTGTTCAACCTAGTGATTTCAAATTCAAAATTATTAATAAAAACCTAATGCGCTTATCCATAAATACTGTAGAAAACTACAAATTAGTGATAGACTTGATTCGGCGGAAGGGATTGATCGGACATACCTTTTCACAGAAGGATAAAAGATGTCACCGAATAGTGATAAAAAACCTCCATCACACGACACCACATGATGCCATTATCCAAGAAATTGAAAAATGCGGCAATAAAGTTAGAGGTGAAATAATCAACTGTCGATATGGACCGGATAAAAAGCCGACCTCAACATTTTTTGTTAATTTAGAACCCAGCAATAACAATAAACTGGTCAAAGATATTAAATATATTTACCACCAACATGTAAAAATTGAGGACCCACGCAAGAGTAAAACAATAGTCCAATGTCAACGTTGCCAGCAGTATGGTCATAGCAAGAATAACTGCATGAGACCTTATAGATGTGTAAAATGCGGAGAGAATCACAAAACTTCTGACTGTCCCAAGAAAGACAGAAACACTCCAGCTAAATGCGCCCTCTGCTCCTGTGATCATCCCGCAAACTACAAAGGTTGTCAGGTATATAAGGAAATTCTCAGCCGTAAAACCAAACCTAAAAAGACCCCGATAAGTGCTTATGTAGTCAGAAATATATCTAATACTGAGCAAACGAAATACAACAGCAACAATTCAAATCCTTCTACAACTTTGTTAAGATCTACAAACCAACACACCTACGCTGAAGTTACTTCAGGTCGGCCCAGAAAACTGTCTAGCAATAATCAGGAACATAAAGATGACTCTATTGATCAATTAAGGATTTTTGAACATCTCTTAACAAAACAGAATGAGAAAATTGAGCTCCTCCTTCAACAAATCAGTACCCTAGTTGGCCTACTGACTACAGTGATTACCAAGCTATCACCGTAAAAGAGCTCACGTTGAGGATTGCAACGTGGAATATTAATGGACTGTCACCTAACATTCAAGAACTTGAGATTCTGATCCATACAAACAATCTCGATGTGGTTTTAATATCTGAAGCACATGCCACAGTGAGAAGTTCATTCCGCCTCAAAGGATTCATCATTTACTTCACTCCACATCCTGATGGTGGAGCTCATGCTGGATCCGCTATAATTTTAAAATCGCATCTGAAGCACACACCATTGGAATCTTTCTCGACGATGCATCTTCAAGCCACTACAGTCCAACTTGAAACACGACGCGGCAGCATCACGCTTTCCTCAATTTACTGTCCCCCAAAGCCTAAAATTACTGCTGACATGTTTGCAGCCTATTTCCAAACTTTAGGCCCCAGATTCATAGTCGGCGGAGACTGGAACGCAAAGCACCATTTCTGGGGCTCCCGTGTTGTGACTACAAGAGGGCGCGAACTCAAACGCTGCGCAGACAATAAGCACCTAAAAATACTTTCCACAGGTGAACCAACATATTGGCCTAGCGATCCTAGAAAATTGCCTGACCTCTTGGACTTCTTTGTGACCCACGGTGTAGCTAGCTCGCACACAAATACAGAGACTTGTTTAGACGGGTCTTCAGATCACACACCGGCAATTCTAACGCTAAGTACAAATGTGATTTTTCGAGAGAAGTCAGAATTTCTTACCAACCACCAAACAGATTGGGAAAGCTTTAAAAACTATCTTGACGAAAACATGAATCTTAAGATATCGTTAAAAGATGCAGACGAGGTCGAAGAGGCATGTAAATACATAACCAACCTCATTCAAGTGGCTGCCTGGGCTAATACGTCACAAAGAAATTTCAACTTGAAAAGTTCTGCTTGTTCATCTGACATAAAGCAACTGATCATGGAGAAAAGACGTCTCAGAAGAAACTGGCACTTATCTCGCTTACCGGCTGACAAATCAATCCTCAACAAAGCTGCTAAAGAATTAAAAATAGCCATAAAGAGCTCTGTGAACAAAACCATCACCGAAAACATTTGCAGATTATCACCGACAGGCTGCAGTCAGCATTCGCTTTGGAAAGCTGCTTCAAACTTAGAGAGACCTCAACTTCCATGTCCTCCTATAAAATCCCCTTTAACGACGACTTTATGGGCAAGAACAGACCTGGAAAAAGCTGAGACATTTGCAGATTACTTGTCTAGAGTGTTCAAACCCAATGAGCAGCTATCGGATGAAACAGAAGTAGACGAAGTCCTGAGTAGAGACCTACAGATGCACCTACCAATCAAGCCAGTATCGCCGAGAGAGGTAGCACGAGAGATAAGAAACCTTGACGCTAAAAAAGCTCCAGGTTTTGATCTTATAACGCCAACGATACTTAAACAGCTACCCAAAAAAGCTGTCACTTTCCTTACTTGTTTATTTAATGCCATCTTAAGAACATCCCACTTTCCATCACTCTGGAAGGTATCACAAGTAGTGATGATACACAAAGTAGGAAAGCCTGAACATGAAACGTCGTCATATAGGCCTATAAGTTTGACGCCTGTGCTCTCAAAACTTTGGGAAAGAACATTCCTTTCGCGACTTCTACCGGCCATGAATGAATGTAGTGTTACTCCAGTTCATCAGTTTGGCTTCAGAAAGGCACACTCAACGATCGAACAAGTCCACAGAATTTATCACACTATACGACAAGGTTTCGAAAATAAGCTTTATTGCTCGGCGGCTTTTCTGGACGTACAGCAGGCTTTTGATAGAGTTTGGCACAAGGGACTCTTGGCCAAAGTAAAGAATAACTTGCCACACTCAATGTTCCTTCTCATTAAATCGTACATAACAGGGCGCTCATATCAGGTCAAACAAGGCGAAGCTAGGTCAAGCCTTTACAAAATCGAGGCTGGTGTTCCTCAAGGGTCGGTCCTTGGACCAGTACTATATACTATATTTACCCATGACCTACCGGTATTGAATAACATCACTGTTGCAACCTACGCTGACGACACTGCCTTCTTATCAACCGACACTGACCCTGGGGTAGCCAGCTATAACTTGCAAAAGCAGCTTGATGCGACACATAGGTGGCTTTCTAAATGGCGGATACGCGCAAGTGCTAGTAAGTCTCAACATGTCACATTCGCTTTGAGGAAAGGCAATTGCGCCCCAGTCAAACTTGGAAATGATATCCTACCACATTCTGACAACGTGAAATACTTAGGATTCCACCTTGACCGACGTTTGACCTGGAAGAATCACATAAAGAATAAAAGGAACGAAATTAACACAAAGTATCGAAGCTTACTCTGGCTGATGGGAAGGAACTCAGTACTGTCCGTCGACAACAAGCTGCTGATATATAATTCAGTTTTAAAACCGATCTGGACATATGGGATTCAAATATGGAGTGTGGCTTGCAAGTCGAATGTCCTATGTCTCCAACGAGTACAAAACAGCATACTGAGGGATATTGTAAATGCTCCCTGGTTTACCAAGAACGATGAAATCCATGCATATTTGAACATGCCAACAGTGGCCGCTGAAATCGAATTGTATCGAAAAAGACACAAGGATCGTCTAAAAAATCACCCAAATCCTCTTATAGCAGAGTTGTTGGACCCATCGAAAGTGGTGAAGAGGTTGAAAAGAGACCACATACTTAATTAGTAGAAGCGGTGTTGACCACTTCACTAAACCAATCTCCATCTACATCAACAAATTCGCTTATGGTCTTGCGACCGATCGCAAATAGCAATATTAAAAAAAAAAAAAAAAAAATTATCACATATTACTTATTGAAAGTGTTAAAAGTTATTTTAATTATTTTTTATAGGATTATCTATTAAATTTTTAATACCAACTATTTTTTAAAGTTTTCACTATTAGAGATCTAATATGTCACTATTTGGTTTAATTAGTGTCATTTATATGTCACTATTTGACCGATTAGTGATTAATTGTGGCGTGCTTAATTTCGTAACTTTTTCCATCATTGTAGATATGCGACAGGGCGTACCACAGGCGTAGTGTTGGACTCTGGTGATGGTGTCACTCACGCGGTGCCAATATACGAGGGGTTTGCGATGCCCCACAGCATTATGAGGGTGGACGTAGCCGGGCGTGACGTCACCAGATACCTACGGTGAGTGGAGCCGGAACAATAAAAAACTTTAATAAAAAAATAGAACCGACTTCAAAACTTTAAAAAAGTGAAAAATAATACTTATATCAAAAACGACTTATTCAAGAAAATTGTATTAAAGTCGATAAAGTCGGTTAAAGTGTAAATAAGTTTTTATTTCATGCTTTTAAGTGATATTGATATTTTTATGTAGTATTTTTGGTGATACCTATATCACCAAAAATACTATTCTAAAAACCGCGTCAAAACCGTCATAAAGTGCGAACTTCCATTTTTAGTCTGTCTTTTAGTTTTTAGTATTTTAGTTGTCAAAGTGCGATCCACTAGTTTTTTATCACAAGCCACTCTGCTACGGTAGTCGTTATTTACTCGTTTTTTAAGTTTACTTCTGTTATATAAGTTACTAGCTTCATTCCCGCGTACTAGCTTCATTTCCGCTAAATAAAGTACTTTACATGCGTAAATTATAGCCATTTTCAAAGAGATACAAAATCGATTAATATTTTTGTTCAATCAAAAATAGGCTATTTATAATATATATCTCGTAAGGGGCTATGCAGTTCCCTGAGGAACTGTAGTCACTGCGACCTTGAAGATCTATTGTGACTCCCCACCAGATCTATAGTAACTCCTTTAGCCCGGTAGACTTCAAAAAGTCTGTTATATTCCTGGTTTTTAGAGATTTTATATTTTCTGGACTGATTATATGTCGTCCCAGATGTATGCTTCGTTTGTGGATTAGTGGTCCACATTCACACAGGAGATGTTTTGGTGTTTCAAAAATAGGCTAGCTGACAACTTTTATTTATTTTATAAATAAATACCTAGTCCATTAATATCTGAGAAATAATTTAGAAGTAACAGTATGTCTGCAATTAATAGTTTCAGAGATAGGGTGCTATGTTTTGTGGAAGTGCTGTTAGTCGTCCAAAAACGCTCCCTACAAATTCAAGGCACTAAGTGACGTCATACGGTGCTACAGTAGCGAAAAACCTATGGGCGTCTTGGCAATTTTTGTAATGTCTATGTTATTTGTATGTTTATGTTTATAGCTGTTTTAATAAAAGTTTTAACATTTTATATAATTTAAATTAATGTCATATGTATTTTATTAAATTTTTGTAGTATTTTTTCAAGTTTTCTAAGAGTAATATTTTCCAAAATGGTGTAATACAATTTATTTTATTACATATGTTACTTGTAGGACACAAGCCTACTATCTTTATTTGTAGCCTTTAGCATTTATTATTTAAAAACAGGTTACTACTACGAAAGGAAGGTGTAAATCTTCGCACTTCAGCAGAACTGGAGATTGTGAAGGCAATTAAAGAAAGAGCGTGTTACCTCTCCCCTAATCCTCTGAAGGAGGAAACCATGGACTCGGAGAGAGCACAGTACACGTTACCCGACGGAATCCAGCTGGAGGTGAGTATTTCATTTATCCACTACTTCTATGGTTTTATTCGTTTAGTATAGGGGAAAATAAAAAAATCTCTTTGGTTTAAAAAATTACTTGTCTTATTAGAGTATTTTTTAGATAGTTGTTGCCTGTCTCAAGTCAAATTATAAATTTTTTATTTCTATTTATCCTTTTTTTATTTCTATCTATTAATCCATTTTTTATTTCTATTTATTTATCCTTTTTTATTTCTATTTATCGTTTTTTATTAACGCAGGTTGGTCCAGCGAGGTTCAGAGCGCCCGAAGTACTATTCAGACCAGATCTAATCGGCGAGGAGTGCGAAGGTCTGTATTTAGATTCGCTAGCTATTTTTCCCGCCTGAGTAAGTTATAGCCTGTGTTACCCGCGTATTACGTACATTCCTGTAGATGATTGAATTTTTTATATTGGTCCAGTAGTTTCGAATCCTATTCGATGCAAACAAACCGTAAAATTTTGCCTCCTTATTATACTAATATATAAATAAAGTTAGTTGTATGCGAGCCCCTTAAATTTTTATTTTACTCTGAAAATTTCAACTGTCTTGCTATCACGGTTCATGAGATATAGCCTGATGACAGACAGACGGCAGAGTGTCAGTAATAAGGTGACTACTGACATCCCAAGTAGCACAAAACACCATTATATCAAACTTATAATAGCACGAGTCCAAGCGTTAAGCATTATAATAAAATCGTATATCAACCGTATTTCTTTTAAACGACTCTTATACGTAAAATTTGGGCACCCCCTTTGTACGACTTTAAGCTTTATAAAAGCTGTGCATTAGCACTATAACTTTTGTATAATAGCATTAATAAAGTCGGGTAAAAGCATTCTAATAGCCACAAAAAGTTCAATTAGCACCTTAAAGTGCTAATTGAACTTTTTGTGATGTAATATAGTCACGTATTATAATTTTGATTTCATTGATATGCGGAAATCAAAATTATAATACGTTAATTTAATGTTATTAAAATTCTTACTGTTTTATTTCCTTTGTAAAAAAAAGTATATTTAATAGATTTTAAAAATATATAATCGGTTTAAGTTATTGTTTTGTGTGTCATGACATGTTCTCTTGGCTGGTTTTTAAAGTATTTTTTAATATTGAACAGGAGAGTACTAACATTTACACAGCTCGTTATAAGTGAAATAAGCTGCAAACATCAGTTTGTGGAGTAAAATATACAAGTTTATGGTGTAAAATACACACGCCTTCGCAAACTTCCTTTAATATAATAAAAATAATAGAAAATTTAATCTAATAACAAAAATTTTTGTTGAATTTTAGGCTTTCAGCATTGTTTTAACAACATAATTGCTTTTATAGGCATCTGTGTACAAAATAAATGATTATTTACCCCTTTTCATCTGACACAGTTGACTTTAATATTATTGTAAGAAATGGAAAAAGAAAGCAAATGGCGACTCGTAAAATTAAAGCATTAGGTATTCAAATATAGTGTAGTAGAGCTGTTAATAGTATTATGGTTAGACACAAAACTAAGAGCTTGTAATTCACCGTATAACACACTCCCATTTTAGGTACAGCCGTATTTTAACACTTCAGAAGTATCTTATAGTGCTTATAATCATCAAACGATTATTTTATTTTGATTTTTAAAAGCTTCAATTAAATTAGAATACTCTTTTTTCAGTTTTCTTTTATATCCACCTGTTTTCTTTGTTTTTCCCAACGTTTTTTGTCCATGGCGCCAGCAATGCGTATAAAATGCCACCATTACAATACAATACATAAAATAATTTTACATAAAATAATAAAAACGATCTATTTATGACTTGTATGCCTAATGTTTGATAAAAGCATAGATTAAGAAGATAAAGGAGCTTGAGCTTGATTAAAGAATACTTTAAGAACAAATCGGTGCTAAAATTTACTTGTTCTTTATTCAATGTGTATATAGGATAAGCATTAAATCGATACAACCATAGGCCATTAGAAAACCTTTGTTTCTAGAAAATGACTAAATACAACTAAGTGCACTAAATAATATTACGTTAATGCTTATATATAATGTTTTTCATATCACCGAAATACGATAACAGCTTTATATTAATATTACCCAATACTTAAATATGAGTTTTGACATTGGTATACTTTTTTTTATTAACTTGACTAGTGCTGATTAAAAATGTTACTATGACTTTAGGACATAAATTTGACAAATTTCACCCCTAAGGGGATAAAATAGGGGATGAAACTTTATTTCAGGTTTTTTACACGATATATTGAATAAATATAATAAATATATATTGAAAATATTCGTTAGAAATGCTGCTCAGAGTAACTTTACCTCGCGGACGAAGTCGCGAGCATAAGCCAGTGTAAAATAAAACTCTTGCTAATTCTCCCTAGGTCTCCACGAAGTGCTGATGTTCGCTATACAAAAGTCCGATATGGACCTACGGAAGGTATTATATCAGAACATAGTGCTCAGCGGTGGGTCCACACTGTTCAGAGGCTTCGGGGATAGACTCCTGGCTGAAATAAGAAGACTAGCGCCTAAAGACATGAAGATAAGGGTGAGAGTTACTTGTTTATGGAATCTAGCCAGACTACACTGTGATAACTTTGATAAAGTTCCATATTAAAGTTACTCCTTATTACATAAGCTATAGTCTATTTTTTCTAATGATACTCGTATCAATTAATGTTAATTTTGAGTAGGTACGTAAAGAAGTATTAAACAATGTAGGTTAAGTTGGGTTTTATAAGTAGGTTATGGAGTGTAAATAGGTGGATAAGACCCCACAAAAATCAATTCTTTTTTAATTTAGGTTGCCTTTAGATTTTTGTGTAAAATTTACGAGTATTAAACTGAGGAGGAGAGTAAACCGCTAACAAGGGTCTTATTACGTATTAAAAGGATGACGCCGATATAGCATTTTACTTTTGGAAGAATATCGAATATTTGTCCTATCCTTTTCTGTCGCTTAGAACTGCCTTCTGCTAAAACGAGAAAGTTAGAGTGTTGCTTATTGCCACGATTATAATGCGGCGGGCTACCGCTATCTCTCTCGGTCTTGCAAAAAAATCTTATTCAGAAAATATCACTTAAAGAACCTAGAAAGACGGCTACCAAATAAAAAAAAAGTCTGCATATAAAATATTGTAAATACTTTATTTAATATTTATTCATATGTTAATACACAGATCTCAGCACCACAAGAGCGTCTCTATTCTACATGGATAGGAGGTTCAATTCTCGCCTCTCTCGACACTTTCCGAAAAATGTGGGTGTCCAAACGGGAATACGACGAGGAAGGACACCGTGCCGTTCACAGGAAGACATTCTAGACTCGATACTCTTAGGCTTAAGGTCGATATTTGTAAAGCAAGAATGGATATTCGCAAAAAACTATCACTATAGAAATAAATTATTAAATCTATCAATACGTTTAATTTGGTTCATTGATTTTATTTATTTAATGTTAAGTAAATAAAGCTTTCTGTTTGCAATGTGTATGTGGAACTGATATAAGTTGTCACCAGTAGATATATTAAATAATTAGCTGTAATCCGCGGCTTTGCTCGCATTGTTAAAGGGAATTGGCTACTTGACTGCTTCGGGAAAAGTTTTTTTTTTTCTCTAAAAATAGAAAAACATTTTTATTCATCGGAATTTGCCTCAAAACCAGTCAGTCACGTGACATTGAACACGAATACTGGTTGCACTCGCAACGAAGATGTTGAAATTTAGTTAAATGAAATTTGACGTCACAAGATGATCCGTCATGGCCGCCCGCGTTTCGGTTCTTGTAATCCACAGATTATAAAATATACTTACAATTTATTTTATAACAATAAATATTACCTACATAGTTATTGTTTGCATTTAAGTTACCATTTCCAATATATATCATAATTTATTAATATAAATATCAAGTAGCCAATTAAGATATTTATCACGGTCCCGACATTCTCCACAAATTTTTATGCGTTTTTATAACCACGCTCCTTTGGGACGGGAAAAAATAACAATATATTGCCATTTATGATATTAGTATGGATTTAAAGTTATCTTTAAAGTTATTCTACACAAATCATGCCTTATATGTATATCTTTACAACAGGATTGCATGCATTTTTCTATATGTGTAAAATTGTGTTGCAGGGTTATCGATAACTTGACTGTCGGTGTATATTTACAAGTCTATAAGGGTCCATCCATAAATTACGTCACATGTTATGAGGTGTTACGTGACGAAGTGTGACATTAGAACATTATTTAATAGAATTTGTATGACAGACTGTATGTACGGGAGGAGGATCTTAAATTTCATGAAATTCATGTGACGTAATTTATGGATGGCCCCATATTATCGATATAGTTAAATTATTACAACACTTATAAAAATAGTCAACACGCTTTATGTTCTGTTATCTATCCATTATTGTAGACAGAAAAACGCATAACGTAGTCAAATATAGATTCATTCCAACTAAGTGCCCAATAAAATTCCAATAATACAACTGCATTATGTATCGCATAATAACATTAGAATTAATGTTAATTAAATAAATTGTGCAATCTGTTTGAAACTCTTATTTTTATAATGGTAAAGTTGAAAATTTACTTTATTAGAATGGCAGCTTGGTGACGAGTAAAAAGTACTTATACCTATTAAGCAAATGTATGTTTCAAATCGTATACAAGGAAATTTAAATTATTTATATATTTATTGTGCAATCAACAGCACTTAATGTTATACAAAACTGTCAAAACTTTCCACTTGATTTCAAACCTAATATGTTACAGGTAGAGTATAAAATCACTTGTCGTGACATTTTATGATTTTTCTATTTTTATTTCCTTAATTCATGGCCTATTTGCGTTTATACAATTCCGCTAATGTCATGTTAATGGCCTTTACACATAAAGAAACAATAACAAAAATGTAAGGTTATGTGATGATGGGCTACCTGGTTCATGTTTTTCACAAATCATATTAATGCGATATATTTCTTACTTTATTATTAACGCATTACAGTTTTATATAGATACAATATTATGACAGTTTTCTTCAACAGGATCTATACATTGAGGCGTCATAATAAGGTTTGAAATGACAAAAGAATTTATTTCCTATCCAAAATAGCTAATTGTAACCTTTTTTGGTAACGCAGGGGAAATACACTCTATGTTTTAAATAATTTCATCACCCCAGCAGCCTACAAAACTAGTTTAACTAGAAAACTACTTACCTTTGCTATCTATCCCTATTTGTGAAGAATGAATTCGAAAGTCGAAAAGTTGTCACTAGGATCTGCTCCGTACCGGTCCCTTCTTGCAGGATACTGGATTAATCCATTTGCGTGAGATGAACCGCAGCGGGTTTTACCAGGTACATAACCTACTCTTTTCAAGGAGGAGTACTTAGAGAGAGAGGTTTAAGGCTTAAGGTACACTTCCCCTGCGTTATCAAAAACAGGATGAGTATGATTGACTTTTGATAAAGCCCGAGGTTCGAGGCCCATGGCATATTCATCGGATGCCCCCCCCCCCCCCCCACCTGTTATTAGAAATTGGGGATTGTGGAATTTTACTATAAATCGTAAAGGTTTAGCAAGCCCGCAATCATAATATGCTCTGATAAAAATATAAACGAATAACACCCAGTTTTACAAACGTCCATTAAAATTATCATTACTTTAATTTCCGAAATTACCTAAATTTTCAAAGTTAGAACATTCATTAGGGCATAGAGTCATCAGTAAACCTTAATGGACGTTTATGGAACTGGTACTAAGCCTTTAATATTTATTATGTGTATTTAAATAATTTTGTATTATTTTAATACGCAAAAGCTGATCAATAAACGCTTTTAATATTAAAAGAAATTGTTTAATTTATTATTCTAAATCGCTTATATTATCTATATTCTTTATATATCTCGCAGTTCTTGAACATTTGTGTTGAATTATAATTATATGCAATCGGGTCTTGTTCGTGCATTTTTTTTTTAAAACAATTATTTACCTCGACGTTTCGGCTACGTTACAGCAGCCGTGGTCACGAGGAGACTGGAGAACTGGCGGGTGTCGTCTTCTGATTTTAGTTGAGGGTAATCCGGTAATAATGTTTTTAACTGATTTTCAGATGTACCCTCCACTTGATTTTATTATACGTAAAGGTGGCGACACACTGCACTTACGGTATCCGAGAATATTGTTCGTGGTTGTTTGCGATCGCGACACTTATACATTTTTATAACCGGATTCCACGTTGGTGAGAGTTTATATCCACTTTCCCGGTTGAAATTGTTGTGTTTTTTGATTTCAACCGCTTCACGAACAATCCTTGGATAGTAATGTCGTTCAGTGGAAAGGACATGAGGTGTATGTAACTCGATCCAGTGGTTTGATCCAGATGATAATAAGTGCTCTGCAATCGCGGACTTCTCCACTTGACGATTTTTGACCGCTGCTATGTGTTCTCTTACACGTTCGGCGATAGTCCGCTTCGTTTGTCCGATATATGAACTACCGCAGCTGCAGTCAATTTTATAAACGCCAGGTTTTTGGTAAGGAATACTATCCTTTGGTGATCGCAATTGGTGTGACATTTTTGATAAAGGAGTAAAAATGGTGTCTATAGAAAAATTTTTCCTCAAAATGGAACCAATTTTGTCCGTTACCCCCTTAACATAGCCTAAAAATGCCCGTTGCCTGGGAACCTTAGGTAGTCTTTCCTTACACCTTCGGATAGGGTATGACCTCCTTGCGCTGTATCCATTTTTCCTTAGCACGTCCTGTACATGGGACAACTCATCTGCTAAGAAGTCAGTATTACATAATGCGTTAGCCCTGTTAATAAGAGTTGTCTCCACAGAACGTAGGTGTTGAGGATGATGATGAGATGAAGCGTGGAGGTACTTGTCTGTGTGTGTTGGTTTCCTGTAGACAGTGTGTTTCAGGGACCCATCAGCTTGCGCCATGACTTTAACGTCCAGAAAGGGTAAGGTTTTGTCACTCTCTAACTCATAGGTGAACTTGAGATTCGGATGGATATTATTGACGTGTGTAAGGAACTGCTCAATCTCCGGTTTGTCGCCCTTCAGGATACAGAACACATCGTCTACATACCGTTTCCACATACGGATCCCATGTGACTGGTAATCTATCAATGACTCGACATGTTCCATCCATATATTGGCCAAAAGTGGCGCTACGGGGCTACCCATGGCGACACCATCAATTTGAAGGTAATGTTTGCCGCGATATAGGAGATAGCTGCCATCTAAACAGTTTCGTAATAGAACCATGTACCCTTCCGGTATATCGTTTTGTCTAAGTTTCATCCTAACAACCTCTAGACAGTCCTTAACTGGAACTTTGGTGAACAGCGACTCAACATCAAAACTCACCATTACGTCATCCGGATCCAGTTTTGTATCATCGAGGATCTGTACAAAATGACGCGAGTCCTTCACAAAGGATGTTGTAGTGCCCACAAGGGGTTGCAGTACGGAAGCAACGTGTTTTGCCAAATAATAAGTAGGTGAGTCAATCTGACTCACAATCGGTCTCAGTGGAACGCTGGCCTTATGCACTTTCGGCAATCCGTATAATTTTGGTGGTTGTACTATCTTCGGTTTGTATAGGTTCTCAAAGATGTCCTCGGTGAAAAGGTGTTTATAATCCCTGATAACAGCACGTATTCTCCTTGTAACTCTCGCAGTTGGATCGTACGATACCGGCTTATATATGTTATCATCTTGCAACAGAGCAAGTATTTTGGAGTCGTAATCGCTAGTATTTATCACGACGGTAGCGTTGCCTTTGTCGGCCTTGAGAACGAGAAGGTCCTTATTAGTTCTCAAGTTCTTAAGAGACGGTGCCACTCGCAGTGTTTTAGCAAAGGGACTGAATTTTGCTACTACCCCGAGAAGATACCGTATGAACATATCATCAGCAGTATAGAGGAGACAATAGTTCGTAATAAGGTACCAACTGATGATGCCGACGCTTTGAGGCAAGATGTCGCTATCGTGTTACGTAAATCCAAAGTACCTAAGAGCAACGTCACGAGCGAAGAGCGTAGAGCTCTTAAAAACTTGAGAACTAATAAGGACCTTCTCGTTCTCAAGGCCGACAAAGGCAACGCTACCGTCGTGATAAATACTAGCGATTACGACTCCAAAATACTTGCTCTGTTGCAAGATGATAACATATATAAGCCGGTATCGTACGATCCAACTGCGAGAGTTACAAGGAGAATACGTGCTGTTATCAGGGATTATAAACACCTTTTCACCGAGGACATCTTTGAGAACCTATACAAGCCGAAGATAGTACAACCACCAAAATTATACGGATTGCCGAAAGTGCATAAGGCCAGCGTTCCACTGAGACCGATTGTGAGTCAGATTGACTCACCTACTTATTATTTGGCAAAACACGTTGCTTCCGTACTGCAACCCCTTGTGGGCACTACAACATCCTTTGTGAAGGACTCGCGTCATTTTGTACAGATCCTTGATGATACAAAACTGGATCCGGATGACGTAATGGTGAGTTTTGATGTTGAGTCGCTGTTCACCAAAGTTCCAGTTAAGGACAAAACTTAGACAAAACGATATACCGGAAGGGTACATGGTTCTATTACGGAACTGTTTAGATGGCAGCTATCTTCTATATCGCGGCAAACATTACCTTCAAATTGATGGTGTCGCCATGGGTAGCCCCGTAGCGCCACTTTTGGCCAATATATGGATGGAACATGTCGAGTCATTGATAGATTACCAGTCACATGGGATCCGTATGTGGAAACGGTATGTAGACGATGTGTTCTGTATCCTGAAGGGCGACAAACCGGAGATTGAGCAGTTCCTTACACACGTCAATAATATCCATCCGAATCTCAAGTTCACCTATGAGTTAGAGAGTGACAAAACCTTACCCTTTCTGGACGTTAAAGTCATGGCGCAAGCTGATGGGTCCCTGAAACACACTGTCTACAGGAAACCAACACACACAGACAAGTACCTCCACGCTTCATCTCATCATCATCCTCAACACCTACGTTCTGTGGAGACAACTCTTATTAACAGGGCTAACGCATTATGTAATACTGACTTCTTAGCAGATGAGTTGTCCCATGTACAGGACGTGCTAAGGAAAAATGGATACAGCGCAAGGAGGTCATACCCTATCCGAAGGTGTAAGGAAAGACTACCTAAGGTTCCCAGGCAACGGGCATTTTTAGGCTATGTTAAGGGAGTAACGGACAAAATCGGTTCCATTTTGAGGAAAAATTTTTCTATAGACACCATTTTTACTCCTTTATCAAAAATGTCACACCAATTGCGATCACCAAAGGATAGTATTCCTTACCAAAAACCTGGCGTTTATAAAATTGACTGCAGC